CATATTGAAAAGTTGAAGGAGCCGGACAATACTCGGAAATCAAGATTGGTCTCATCAAACAAAAACCTTCGTGAAAGTTCTCTCTAATCCGCTGCACAGGTGATGACCATTGAATCATAAAACCGGACCCGGCAGACACAAGCTAATACAGGATCTTCTAAAGCCGTAAGAAGGTGAAAATTCGGCTCCTCTTCTTATCATCTGAATGAATGGAACATTGGAAGGAATCCAGCTTCACAAATAATATGTTTTTTTCACACGAAATGGTATTTTTTGTGTGGGTGAAACTCGGACGGGATTCGCACCCGTATAAAGGGGATGGAGTGGCGCACCCCCCAAACGGGGTTGTTCACTACCCAAAGACTTTACTTATTGTTAGACTTTATTGTATAATGTCTGTCCATCAATGAACCCGTACACGACTTTCTTTGGGAAACTCTAAAAAATCGTATCCGAATGTGCGGTCTTCTGGAACGAGTGGGGCTCGGCCTCATTTCCATCTCCGAAGAAGGCCTTGGAAGATGTCGGCTACACCTCTCGATTGACTTATTGTTGCTTTTTGAGCCCATTGAGTCTTTGTTGAAGATTCAGAACTGCAAATCGTTGCGTCTACACATGGACAGGCCATAGTAAGCTGTTTCTCATCTCTTTCTCTTTTTCTCGCAAGAGGAACACAAAGGATCTCCACCACATGAAAAAATTTCCTTATAACCATGAAGGCGTCATCTCCAAAACATCAACGATGATCACTTTTTTCTTCAGTTTCTGCTGCTCTTGTTCGCAAAAGAAACTAACCACTCGCAGGGGTTCTGTTGTCATCTGGAACATCACATACTTGCATAAGTTCATGCACATCTGATGTAACGAATCAAAAGAATTCTTTTTGAGCCATTACACATAAAAGGATGAAGACTAGAATTCTTTGGGACTAATCAGTCCCGCTTCTGGAGGGCACCCCTTTAGAATCGCAGTTTCGGTTTTTATAGTTACACAGCCGACTTACCGACTTGAAGTATTCAGCCGATGTACGAGTGGATGTTTATATTTTTTCAAATAGGTATTTCACCAAACTGCCAGCCCGCGGGGACGGAGCCCCTTGCGGTCTTGAGTGAGTATATACCTTGGATTCGATCCCAGAAGTTTTATTGTTTTCATCATTCGAAGATCATTCATTCTTGCTTGTTTATTAGGCGAAAACTCATTACAGCTGCTGAGTAGGATGGTTCAAGCTGATATTTAGAGCGCCTCAAGCGCTTTCCCAGTAGTACGTTGTTTTCATGTGCATGTGTTGCACTTTACATCGAAATTATGTGCTGCCCATTTCATGAACCTTGAGCTGTAATAAGGTCTACGATGAAGATCTGGTCGAAAAATAAAATGCAAGCAAAACGCAGCAGTGAGCCCAAAAAAATCTATCTCTCTGCCTAAGAATTGATATGTAGAAACAGCTTGTAAGGTGAAGGTGGTGTAGTGGCAAGTGGGCACTACACACACACACACACATGTTATGGGTTCAAGTCCTCGATCGATAACAGACTTAATTTTAGCCAACCAAACCTTCCATCCCTCTGGAGTCTGTAGCTGACTTGCTCATCGGCTGGCCACTACAATTTAGGTTAGATACATATTCTAAACTACTAGGATTCAGAATGGAGGTCGAGAATGATGGCATGTCGGTTTCAGTAATGGGAGAGCGCGAGGCTCGGCGTTTCTTGGTGAAAGGGAAGTTCTTGTGAGGAAAAGGCTAAAACTCTATTTGTTGGATTCAATTATGTAGAGTATGCGCACCTACATAAAAGCTTTCCAGGGTCCCTGTTTGGCACAGTTCAGTATGTAACTTCGCGGGGAACGATCGAATGTCTTCTCCAATTCTAGAGAAGAGTACGTGCTTTGTATGGGTGTGGGTACATTCACCCAATTTTGGATGGACGCGGCAAACCGCGCGGCGAAATTCATGGTACTTTAAACGACTCTGGCGTCTATCATTGGGGTATAGGTTTAAAGTAGAGTAGATATGTAGAGCCAGCTAATGCTTCTTATCTACATTACTTCGAATTTGTGCCCCAATGATAGGCTCCAGAGACGTTTGAATCACGACGGATTTCCCGCGCAGTTTGCAGCGTACGTTCAGAATGTTCCATCCCCGCACTGCATTGATGGCGCTGCAGTGATTGCAAATCTGTTCTCGTTGGTGAAGAACTAAGTCGGTTCTCGGACAGGGCCGTCCTCTACTACTGTCAGAAGAACTTCTGATGTGGTAGAACAGGCAAATTATGGGATGACGCACTCTACAAAATTCCAAAGGCAGAGGCTTTTGTCAACTAATCGAAGATTCAGTGGTCCGGACATATCAATCGATTTCGCTCACCGTTGGAACAGGACGGTTACTGATATAATACCTCGGTACGTTGAACGAACATGAAGTGGCCAAGTGCGATGGTCAGACGTCTTTATGAAATCTCTGAACGAAAGAATTGCTATGCCTCGTGCCCTCGAGCGAAGTCAGCATGAACAGCTCTCATTGAATGGATATTTTACTAGCGCCCGCTCGAGTAAGTGGGTTGTCAGGTAATAGGTGCTGCAGCATAGAGGTGCCGCAAGTTTTTATACTTTTGCTCGGATTNCCCTCGAGCGAAGTCAGCATGAACAGCTCTCATTGAATGGATATTTTACTAGCGCCCGCTCGAGAAAGTGGGTTGTCAGGTGATAGGTGCTGCAGCATAGAGGTGCAGCAAGTTTTTATACTTTTGCTCGGATTGCAACTTTTTAGTTTTTGAGGAAGCTAACCTGTTGACCGTCTACATTGTTCAGGAGGAGCGGTATTGCTAGGATGTAGCCGATTTGGGAGGCAATGTTGGGCCCAAGGCGAAGCACAAAGCTTGATTATGACAACTTCTGGGGGATAGTTTGGCTTCAGTAGTAATTGTGGCCCCTTGTCAGCAGCTACATGTCCATTATCCTCCTCTGGTGGTGTCTTGAGTTCTAAAACTACCTCTCCTTCACCGTCATAATTGTAAATATCCAGTCGAGGGAGGAAATGAAAGAGGAGCAGCATTATTATCTATCCTCCATTGGCGATTCGAACGACTCTGACGCCTGTTAATGGGGCACAAACTAAAAACTTAAGGGGGCAAGTAGCATAGTTTAGCAGGGTCAGCTACCGTACTAATTTACGCTACTTCAAATTTGGACTCCAACGATAGGCGCTAAAATTGTTCAAATTGCCACGAACTTCACCGCGCGAATCGCCGCGCGCATCCTCGGACGTACGTAAGTTCTGTCCCCTATTTTTCTCGCTATGACTCGCTCATGTAATTTGGTATCGAGGATCCATTCAACACCACAAACCGGGTATTTTTAGGGACGTGTTGAACTTCAATAGTTGTTGTCATTGTGTCGAAAATGTCTCCTGAAATGTTCTTCGATGAGTCAAAGCAGGTACGTTTTGGTTATTCCGCCTTCATCGTTCAACACTTTGACGACCATGCAGCCCATATAAGGGCTGCACCTTGTCGGCCACGAGGGACCTTGCAGCCCACATACGGGCTACACCGTGTAATTCAATTTTGTTTGGCTTTTTTTTGTTTATATGATTCTCTCTCGAAATGTAAAATATAGACACAAATTTCATCAATAAACAAACGGAGTGCTTTCAAATAAAACCTCCATCAACAAATTTGTAAGAAAAATAGTGATTATATATTGGTTCTTTTTCAAGTCAATTGTTATTAAATACTGTAACATTTTGAAACCCGTATAACTCCTATCAATTGCACAGCCTATGGAAACTGTTGGAGCACTTTACATAGAAAAATGATTTGCACTTGCTGCACCGCGTATTTACCCTTCTCGTATGACGGAGTGCACCAACTCGCCCCTCTTCTGAAGACCTGAGTGCATAGCAACGGGTGCATCTCCTTCTTGTGACGGCTTTTGGTTCAGGCATCCCTCCAAGTGGTGTTTTTTAGAGGGTGTGAGGTTCAGGTCCGTTATAGAAGAGCTTCTGCTAATTCCATTTTGAACTCGTTCAGTTTTACCTTTTTGACGACAACATTTAGAGCTTCCGCGTGTTGATGCGACTTGTACGATCAAATGGAAGAAAGTCCTTACCCTCCATTTGGCAGTTCTACGCAAAAAGGGGTTATGCTGCGAGCTGGTCGGAGATGTCTACAAAGCATTCGAGGTCGTTGTAGTCTTCGACAACCGCTGGTTTACCATTGGAGTGATGCTCCCATCGTGCTTTGTTGTCAGTAGCAATATTTCACGTTTGCCTTCCACTACATAACGAGAATACGTTGCTCATTTTGCTGGGCATCANCATTCGAGGTCGTTGTAGTCTTCGACAACCGCTGGTTTACCATTGGAGTGATGCTCCCATCGTGCTTTGTTGTCAGTAGCAATATTTCCCGTTTGCCTTCCACTTCATAACGAGAATACCTTGCTCACTTTGCTGGGCATCAACTTCGTTCCTTTTTAGCCTTTTTTCCTTGATTGCCTTTGGAATTCCCTCTCTATTTTTTCACAAGGTACCTATCAAGTGCGTGCGCCTTTTCAGAAGTTTTTCAGTGTAATGCTGGTGTAGAAGTTATCCATACACAAAGTACGTCCCTCATCCATGAATTCTTCCATGAGCTCCATGACAGCTGAGTCCACAACAGTGCCCATTCTTGAAAGATTTCTCCTTGCATATACCTTCACTTTGGCTGCGTATCCGCCTCGTCCACGTATTTTGAACAGCTTGATACCGCAGCGATGCTTTTTGGAAGGTATGTGCTGCCTAAAGGAAATTCGCCCTCTAAATGGTATCAGGTATTAGTCTATGTAGACGTCGCTGCCGATAGAAAAAGCGCTCATAGCTGTCGCGTTAAAAAGGCTTAAGAATTTCCGGATTTTGTGCAGCTTGTCCCCATCGAAATAGTCGTGGTTGGCAGCGTGGAGGGAACGAAGAGGCTCTTCGAACCTTCTCCAAACCATAACATGACCGACATGCAAATGACCACCTAGAGCTGGTCGCTGGCATCAGTAATCACGCATTCATGGTAGTTTGACGATTCCCATTTGAAGGCAGATTCCGAAGAATTTCCTCGTTCCGTACTCCGTCGTCGTCGTATCTTGGAAGTCCTATCCAAGCTTCACCGCTCTTCGCTGGCCGTATCTGTTCATATCGGTGACAACGAGCTCCATCATATCAGCATCAAGAAACAGATTGTAGAAGTCGACAGGATGGCTGCAAAAAAAAACGTGGGCGGCTGGTCCATATTCTGTAAAAATCCATGATGTAGTTGTTGACCGGAACATTCCAAGTTCATCAAAGGATTCCGATTCACTTTTAAGGTCAGGATCTTCGTCTAATTGTTGTGATTCGCCTGCGGTCTCATCCTGTTGTCCCTCGCTTTCTTCTTCAGATTCGATCAGCAGTTTATGAAACTGATCTTCAAACCGTTCCTGTGAAGTATCCATGATCGTTAGGGACAGGAGTAGCCTGACTGATCAACCTCCTGACGTGGTCGCCACAGTAGGAATGAGTATTTTCGAAAAATCCGCCAAAATGGCCCGCTTCTCAAGAAACATGCCACCAGAGCCCGTGCAGCC